GTATTGATCCCGGAAGAGTCAGACAGCTTGAGCAACAGTACCGGGTTCTCGTTCGTAATACCGCCGTTCGCAAACTTTTCATCATTCAGGTAAGGCTTGATCGTGGGCCCGACATTATCACCATCGATATTGTTGCCCGTGCCACCGATGATAAAATTGGTAAACAAACCACTGCCATCTTCCGTACCATTCTCTGCATACAGGCTTAGCCTTCCGTTTCCATACTGGTAGTTGATGTCTTTCGGCACCTTGAATGAAAAGGAAAAACGTCCGTTGGCCACTGACACTTTCCCCTTGAATAAAATATTTGATTGCGTGTTGAAAGTCGTCGGTGAACTGGTTGGATCGTTGCCCAGCGTACTCGCAGTTTGCGGCTTATCGTAAACCGTCGCATAGGCATTACCGTTAAACGAGGTCAGGAGGTTTCCCTGCACATCGGTGACTTCTCCTTCGATGATGGCTTTTTCTTTTGCGCTTAGTGTATCAGCCTGGGTGGTGGCAATACCATTTACTTTTACAGCCCTTACTTTTAATACCGGATAAGCAATGGTCATGGCCGGATCACCAAGGAGCGTGAATTTCCGGTTGTTGGTAATATCTCCCGAGGTCTGGTAGGTATAATTCTTCGCTGCCATGATCGCTTCGCCCAGCGTCTTAAATTTCCCGTTAGCATCAGGTGCCAGCGCAAACCGGAGATAATTATCATTCATGATCCGGTTGCTAAAGGCGAATACGACGCGGGTGGTGGTCATCAGCGCTATCGCGCCGGTTTTAGGTCTTACCAGGATATTTTCACCGAGTGAGTTCAGGGTTGGAATATCATAAGGGGCAAAGTCGCAGGTCGCGGTAATGAAAAGCGGAAGCCTGTTCGCATTGTTCCAGTTGTTGACGATATCCTGGTCAATGATCACTTCTTCGGCTAAGCGTCTGGGGCCACCGTGGCCGGTAAAATTCCAGATCAGCGTACCATTGTACACCTGGTTGTTGATCGCCTGGTTGGCCTGG